TTTTCCCGGCGTCTGCTGGTGCGGTGAATAGCTTTCCTAATTTCAGGCATTCTAAGTATTTTTCATCTGATTTCTTTATGTGAGTTTCTTGTAGACATACTATATCAGCATTTTGTTTGATTAATTTGGCTATTATCCATTTCCTTTTTATCGTTGAGTTTAAACCATTTATATTAATTGATAGTAGTTTCTTTTCTTTTTTCATTTAATTAGTTCTGTTTCGCTCTTTGCCTTGTGACTGCTCCGGTCTCTCCTTGTGCCTGAAGATGTGTCCTACTTTCTTCACTCTCCTGTTGTAATTGAGTATTTTCTTGATTTCCTAAAGTTCTGTCTCTGTTCTTATGATAACCTTGGTCTTCCTGGGAGTTTGTTTCCAGTTCGTCCTTACTGTTCTGATCTTCCAGGCCTTCCAACTGTTCATAAACTTCCTGGACCTTTTCCATGGAGTCTATTTTGATTTTCCTCTCGTCCCATGAAACTAACATCTCCTCTGGGATTAGCCATTTAAATACGATTCTTTTCTGATTTAGGTAAGCCGCTAAAAATTTATAATCTCGTCTTTGTTCTCTTACTCTTCTTGGTATTTGTTTGAGAACCAAGACTTCTTTGCCTTTATACATGATTGATTCATCTCTTGACATCCTATATATGATGTCCTGGACACTTCTTGCAAATTGAATATGGATTTCTCTTGGGCATTTGTGGCATCTTGCATAGTTAGTGCTAACACTGTAAACTTCATCAAACTCCCTCAAAATGTCATCTTTCTCCTTTTCCAATAGTCCTGCCAATATTCCTGCCATTAGTTGTTCCAAGTCTTCTTCTTTTGATTCCACTATATTCTGGAATCTTAAGTATGTAGCAGCCTTATCCATCTCTAGGTAGACCAGTGAGTCCTCCATTTCTTTACTCACATTCTTTAATTGTTCATCTACCCTTTTTAATTTCCTTTCAGTTTGTTCTGTCCTTTTCTCTACCTCTTTTATTGTTGCTTCATTTTTCTCCAAGGCCTGCTGTAATAATCCAACTTTGTCCTCTACTTTGGAGATGTCCGCTTTCATTTCTGCTTTTAGTTTCCCCATCTCCTCTTTTAATTCATTTATATCTGCTCTCGTCTCATTATGGTTCTTCATCATTGTTTCTTGCAGCTTCATCATCGATTCCTGTAAAGTAAGCAGAATCGATTGGATATTGGCATTCAAGGTGTTAGCTTGTTTCTCCACTGGTAATGTTTCTTCAATTGTTTTTTGTGCTATAGGCGAAGCTGTTGCTGATGTGGTTGTTAACATCGGGGTGACCTTTCTTCCAGTTTTCAGAGTTGTAGTTGTTGTGGAAGTCATTTCTTTTAAGATTTGTTTTTGTTGTTGTAATATATTAATTATATTACCCCCAAATTAACATTCAGTAATAGAATCTCTATATTAGGATTAACCAGTATCTAATTACTTAATCTATCTATCTACTGGATATCTGTAGTCTTTGCCAATTTACTGGAGTATAGGTTCTTGTAGATAAGAATATTATCACCATATTATTTTAAATCCAGATTCTAAATCACATATATAATTTTGTAAGGCCTCAATTCTCAGCCTCTATACATAACTTCCATGTAATAGAAAAATATATATAAATATTATACCCAAACCCAACTATATTTAAATATTATAGATAAATATATGTATTATATAACCTTATTTTGAATATTCTTAAACACAAACAGTATTACATTCGTCCCCAAATGGATTAATTAAATATTTAGAGTGATCGCACAATGAATTGTAATATTAATATATAAAATCCTCTATAGTTATTAATTAAATAATACTTAATGTTCTTACTATTTTTCCTATATATCTAAGCAAAGTATAACTATCACTATTATTAATAAATAAATTAAATCAGTTAATTCAATTATTTAACAATCAATTACAACAATCAATTTTCCTTTCCCCAGGTGTACATATTTATGAACATTATAAAGAGAGATTGAAGGAGGAGAGATAATTCATCATAGCACCGGAGGGTGGGGGAGTAAAGAAAAAAGAATAGGTGTATTACAGGAGAGAGGGAATAAAGAAGGGGAAAAAAGAGTTTTAAAGTAAATTTTTAGCTTTCTGTCTCTAAGTTTTAAGAGCTTACACTCCAAACACACCGGAAGTGGGGAGGTAAGAAATGCTGAGTAGTGACTGTAATTACACAGTATCTCCACATATTCAGAAGCTTCCACTTTTCCTTTTCGTCTTAGCGTTCCTAAGTTCAATTTTCCTGATTTTCTTCAGATGGAACCACCTCCTCAGTTAAATCAGTATACTCCCTGAAGGGCAGTAATGTGGTTTACATCAGTTATATTGTTACAATAACTTCAGGATTTCTAAATATCGCCTGTAGCTCCTCACTGTTTCTATTCCACCGGCTCCAATCTTCTTCCCATCTCCAATTTAATACAGTCTTTCAGAGTAAAAATCGAATGAAATAGTCTGAATCCCCACACCTTCCAGTCACCTTCCAGCCACAAGATTCCCTTCTATTAATATCGGTGTGGTATATCTCCCGACCTTGTAAGCTTCCCTATTTACTTGTTATTGTCCTCTATCTTTCTTCTGTCTGCCAAGCCCCTTCACTTTCATTTGTCTCGCATTCACTTTTTAGCCACTTCCTTTAAGGGCTCTGAACAGACTCTTGTAGCAGCCTTATAAAAGTCTATAGCATTCCAATCACCCTCTCCACCACTAATTTTCTCTGACACACTCTCCACCAAAGATCCCACAAACTGTCACTCACTCGCTTCTTTACATCGGTTGCAGTCCGGACTTCGGAGCCACCATTGATGAGCGGCTGTTTCTTGCTTGTTGGGCTCTGGAGGGCTCCTCTTTGCTGCAGGGGGGTTGCCTTCCTCACACTGCAGCTCGAGTCTCCCCCACGCCGGCACAAATCTCTCCGGGACTCGTGCACCCTCAAAGAATTGCACCAACCGCAAAAAGAGGTTAACTGAAACCACAGGTGGGCTTCTGCACCTCTGCTCGTCCTTGCCTTACCACTGGAAGTCCTATAATCTCCTTCTTTCTTTCCTCCCTCCCTTCCTTCTTCATTCTCCTTCCTTCTCCTTTCCTTCTTTGTCTTTTTCCTCTTTCCCTTTCTCCATTCCTGTCTCTTCTTGGATGCTTTGAGTGCAAAAGAGGAAACATTTATCCTTTTGTTTTGTTTTTATTTTTTTTTCCGCTAGCCCTCTGTCAGTGAAAATGGAGCTCATTGGGGCATGTGCTCCTCTCCCAAGCTTCATTTTAGCTGACAGAGGGCTGCAGGAGGCTGTTGTGGTTGGAAACGGGGGCTGAGAGGGCCAAGGTTGAAAATGGGGCTGGTCCTTTGCTCTTTTCAGGTCGGCCCGAGGGCCAGATCTAAGTGGGCCTTGAGTTTGACACCGTTGCTGCAGAAGGTAAATGGAGCATTTTACATGTGCTGCTGCCTCTGTAGGCAGCTGAGGCCCCCAGCCCACACCAGGTTTCCACATGCTGCTAGACCCTGTAGGGTCTGGTGGTCTGGTGGTTTGGGGTCTCCAGGGCTTTCCCCACCTTTTGAGGCACCCGCATGTTCTGTTTAACAACCTGTATGGTTGCTTAACAACCACAGCTGGGAGAGCTGAGATTGTGCTCATTGAGAAGCAGTCACATGGCCACCTCACTTAATGATCAAGATTATTAATTATTATGATTATTAATGTTTCAATTGCGGTCATAAGCTGTACTTTTAGCATATGGGTGGAACTTCTACACATTTTCCATTGCTTCTGTTCCTTTTGAACATATTGTACACTTCAATTGCTACGTTCCAAATATGGGAGTCATCCTAACAGGTCACAGTTACATTTATGAGTCATGTGTCTTTTTGTACTAGGAATTCAATCTCATCTTATTCATGTGCCATAATTGAGGCATCAGTGTATTTTAAAAAATGCCTGTGCACTTCTTGTTCCAATGTTCTTTCTGGCTTTTTTTTTTTATCGAGTGGCTGATGTTTCGTAACAGCCACATTCCCACTTTCTTCTATAGTGCATTAGACTTTAATTTTGATGTTTCTTTCTGTTTTTTTTCTTTCAACCCTCACAGGATTCAATTTCAAGCCCTCTTGAAAAAGATCTTTGCATATTTGGCCAGGTATATTTTTACCAGACCATGTGCAGTTCAATCTATCTTTCACCATCCATCCATCCATCATTCCTATAACTTAAACCATGGTCTCAGAAACTAAATCTCCCTAGTTGTAAGGAATGAAGTTGGGGGGAATATAAGCATCCACTGAGTTGGAAAAAGAGGAGGGAAACATTTAGCTCTTTGACTTGGTACTAATAAAGGAGGATATCTGTAGCTTAGGGTTGACACACAGACATTCTTGCAGATGTTTCGTTACCCAAACTAGGTAACATCATCAGTCCTAGGACATGTCTGCAGGAAAACAAGCAAGATCAAGAGCCCCAAGGACCCTTCTGACTTGGCCTATACAGTGGTATCTCAGGATTCACCCTTAATTGTTTCTAGGAGGAGCAATGAATACCAAAAACAATGAGCACCCAACAAAAATTTCCCATAAGGAATAATGTAGTGAATCACAAAAAAGCCGACATCAAAAAGTTCTAGCTTGTGTGTTGAGTACCAAACAAATGATGAGTAGTACTGTGACAAAATTTTCACGTCAGAATGTGTAGAGTACCAAATTCGATGAGTTTCAAAGCAGTTGAGTACCAAGGTATCACTGTATAGAATTTGATTTTTGTGTACTACAGCGGGCAAGTCTTCTATGTACATATGCGACTTCATTTTTTGTCTGCTAATAAAGAGATTACATCTAAACAAGTCATTATCTGAGAGCTTTCTACTGATAAGCAGCTGTGGTGAACCCAGTGGTTAGAATGCAGTATTGCAGGATAACTCACTGCTCACATCCAGGAGTTCGATTCTGACTACCTTAAGGTTGACTCAATCTTCCATCCTTCCGAGGTTGGTAAAATGAGGACTCAGATTGTAAGCTGTTTAGAGAGGCCTGTAAAGGACTATGAAGTGGTACATAAGTCTAAGTGCTATTGCTATTAGTCAAGCTCTGAAAAAGGGTTTAAGTGGAGAGCTTGGCTAAAGCAAAGCGTGGTATCAAGCTTGATATATGTGGACAACATTTCCAAAAGCAAGTGTTTTCCTATTTTCTTCTTCTTTTCTTTGCTACTCCTATTCTATAATCTGAAAGGAGGCTGAGAACACCATTGTTGTGTCTGCAAACAAACACACTTTAGGCTTATATACTGCTTCACAGTGCTATACAGCCCGCTCTAAGCGATTTACAGAGTCAGCATATTGCCCCCAACAATCTGGGTCCTAATTTTACCCACCTTCGGAGGATGGAAGGCTGAATGAGACGGAGTGAGGCCGGTGAGATTCGAACTGCCAAATTGCAGTCAGTCAGCAGAAGTAGCCCGCAGTACTGCACCCTAACTACTGCGCCACTGTGGCTCAAGTAAGACAAATACTTTTGAGGAAGTCCCATCTACCCTTGGATAGCCTCCTACTGGAGGAGCAGATTCACTGTTGGAGGTGCTGCTGAATTGGTCAGGAATTTTTTTTTACATGTTTTAAATAGTTTTCCAGAGAACTTTGGATTTTTTAAAAAAATGAATACCTAACTTTTTTTTTTTTTTTGCAGGCAGGTCTGAAGTGTAAAGGAGAAGGAGATAATGACACAGAAGGCAGAAAAAGACTTAAAAGAGGAGGTGAGGGAGCAGCTCCTCCAAATTAAATTAAGATTTATTGATTTAAAATCTGTATGCTAGATTTCTACCTTGCTTTTTCTCAAGGACCTTAAAGCAGCTTACTTGAGAAAATCCTTTTGTTTCTTTTTTCTTTCCACAAAAACAAGAAATATTTGGGCTCCATAAGCCTGTATCTGACAATAAGGGGGAAAATGTGTTATGGCCTTCAAAACAATGGGACTCTGAGGGTCGTACAGCAAAAGAGTAAACAAATAAACCCCCAAACCGAATATTATTAAAAACACATGGAATAATATCATGATGGGACAAACGCCTTTAGGGTTGTTTTTTTGTTTTAAAATCCTAAAAGCCCGAACCTGTTTGTTTCATGACAGTAACAAAGATTCTTTGGGATATCAATGTTTTGGTTCAGTTTTTTTTTAAATTACCACAGGAGGTGGAAGTGCTCAAGGCTTTCATTTTTTATACATGCGGTAGAAACATTCTTTGTTCGATGCAAACGTTTACCTTAAAAAAAATCTTTATCTAAATGAGTTCAGTTGGTAAGATTAAAGCCGGATGGAGATGTGTTCTGCAGTGTCGAACGTATGCGCCAGTCATTGACTGCATCTCATGCTAACAGATACAAGCCAGAAGGTAAGTGGCCAGGATCCTGCCAGGTCCTATTTAGTGTGAGCAATGCAATCCACAAGCTTAATGCTCCATTCAGTAATAATGCCTGGGTTAGGAAAAGGCCAGTTGATGCCCTTAGGAAAAGCTTTAAGGTTTTAGGATATTCTTCATCTACGTCAGCCATCACATTCTATTTAAGAACATCAGGAGAATTCTGCTGAATTAAATCCATGACACCTAGCTCTGCGCTCTATTTTTGTGTGTGTGTATCAAATGGTGACTAAAAACACAGCAAATGGTTGCCTTTTGTTCTTGGGGTAGATATATAATCAGCTGAGGTTTTCGTAGGCTTCTTTTTAGACTCTCAAAGTTTGTTAAAAAGCACAAGCTATTGTGAACTGTAGTTCATTTCATCAAGTGGGCTAGAGTGGTGCAGAATTTAAATCAGGATGAGGTAGAGAGAAAACAAGATGTTTAGGCAGATACGGATTACATATAAGACTGATTACAATACAGTTAAAGGTAAAGGTTCCTTCGCGCATTCGTGCTAGTTGTTTCCGGCTCTAGGGGGTGGTGCTCATCTCTGTTATAAAGCCGAAGAGCCAGCGCTGTCTGAAGACGTCTCCGTGGTCATGTAGCCGGCATGACTAAACGCCGAAGGTGCACAGAATGCTGTTACCTTCCCACCAAAGTGGTCCCTATTTTTCTACTTGCATTTTTACATGCTTTTGAACTGCTAGGTTGGCAGAAGCTGGGACAAATAACGGGAGCTCACTCCATTAGGTGGCGCTAGGGATCAAACCGCCAAACTGCTGACCTTTGTGATTGACAAGCTTATTGTCAACTAAAAAATACTTCTTTGGTCTTTTTAGTTGCCAGCAAAAAGGGAGTGGGGGCAAACAGTGCATTCCTCAAATGCTTCAGATAATTGCTAGGCAGACGAAGCTGTTGGAACCCTATCACGCAGTGTCTTAGCCACTAGATCTTGTCAACTAAAAAGATACTCCTTTGGTTTTTTTAGCTACCAGCAGAAAGGAAGTGGGGGAAAATAGTGCATTCCTCAAGTGCCTAGATAATCACCCTGGAAGCCCAAAGTTGTCGGAGCGCAAGAATATTACTGGAGAGCATGATTGATGGCTTTTGGCTATGGATGTGTCCCATTGGAGAATATACATCCAGGTGGTGGTGGGAAGACCAGGATCAAGAGGGAAATGAATGATGTATTTTAGTATCGGCTGCATCCAGCCAGTGCCAACATGGCCACTTCTAATAAATCAATTTTCTTTTCTCTGAGAAATGCACCTAAAAACTTATGATTTGAATGGGGGTGGATTTGTTGGAGTCCATTATGTTTGTTTGTCAAGCATGTATTAGATAACAGATATAAGTACCGTGTTACTCACAAAATAAGGCCGGGCCTTATTTTTTTTTGACCCCCCCAAAAATGGGTAGGCCATCTTTTCGGGGGTGACTTAATTTCCCCCCACTTGCATCCTCGGGTGGGTGGGCAGCGACAGCTTGGATGTTGATTTCGGCGTTGGTAGGGCACTTTGTATCAGGAGACCTTCCACCACCGTTGCTTTCCCTTCTCCCTTGCTGCCGCGGCATTTAGAGCAATGCTGTGGCATTTGGCGTAGCCACGTGTGGCCAGTCAGGGCTCCTCCCTGCAACTGGAGCCTGGCAGAGACACTCGGCTTCAGGCGCTCCTGTCGCCACCTTCCCTTTGCCTTCGAAGGCAAAGCCAATTATTTTAAAAACGATGCCCTACTACCGGTACAACAAAGACCACCCTGCCTGAGAGGGCAGCCCAACCCCATGTGGGGAGGCGAATCTCCCAGGGCCGCAGTGCAGGATCGGCCCACCTCAGGAGAAGTGCCCAGCTGCCATCCCTGCCTGGCGCCCGGTCAGAGCGTGAAGAACTTAGCCTGGGGCGCCCAGCGCAGCTGACAGGTGGGCCCTCCTTCCCGGCAGCAGAGCTCTCACCAAGGCAGCGAGCGCTTCCCCTCCGGACGCTCCACTCATCCCGCCAGGGCCGCGCCAGAGCCGTGTGGGCTGGACAGAGCCAGGAAAGCGAGCCGCGGGTGAGCGCCCGCCTGCCAAGCAAAAGAGCCGGGCAGACCTGAACTTGGCTTCCTTCCCAAGTCCCTCCAGTGCAAACCTGAAGGGGCCACCGGGAGAGGGTGCCAGAGGCAGTGATAGCACCCACCCGTCTGCAGACAGGGAGGCGAGGTGATGGCAGTGCTGCTTCCCTGGCCGGCAGAGCTGCCCGTCCTTTCCACCCCTTGCCCAGCCCGTCCCCATCCCCACGCATCTCCAAATGGGCTGGCAGCTCCAAATGCTGCAGTGGAATGGGCATCAGGCAGAGGCACTGATTCAGTGGGGCTCAGCTCGGAGGAAGATGAGGTGCAGGCCGTCGCCTTGCCTCCTTGTCCACGGATGGGTGGGTGCTATCACTGCCTCGGGTGGCCTCTCCTGGTGGCCCCTTCGGGTTTGGGTTGGAGGGACTTTGGAAGGAAGCCAAGCTCAGGTTGGCCTGGCTCTTTCACTTGGCAGGCAGGTGCGCACCCGTGGCTTGCTTTCCCAGTTCTGCCCAGCCCGCATGGCTCCGGCGTGGCCCTGGTGGGATGAGCGGAAGGCCCGGTGGGGAGGTGCTCGCTGCCTTGGTGAGAGCTCCACTGCTGGGCAGGAAGGCCTGCCTGTCAGCTGCACTGGGCGCCCCAGGCGAAGCTCTTCACGCTCTGCCCAGCGCCAGGCAGGGATGGCGGCTGGGCGCTTCTCCCGGGGTGGGCCGATCCTGTGCTGCAGCCCCGGGAGATTTGCCTCCCCACATGGGGTTGGGCTGCCCTCTCGGGCAGGGGAGGCTTTGTCGTACCTGTAGTAGGTTGTCGTTTTTAAAAGAATTGGCTTTGCCTTTGAAGGCGAAGGGAAGGCGGCGACAGGAGCACCTGAAGCCGAGTGTCTCCGCTGGGCTCTGTTTGCAGGGAGGAGCCCTGACTGGCTGCACATGGCTGCGCCAAACGCTGCAGCGTTGCTCTAAATGCCACAGCAGCAAGGGAGAAGGGAAAGCAACGGTGGAGGAAGGTCTTCTGATACGAAGTGCCCCACCAACGCCAAAGTCAATGCAGGCAGCACCATATCCGGGTATGCAACAAAAGTACTTCCTAACGGCAAGCCCCCGCCATTCCCCCCCATTTCGCATGTTTAATATAGGCCTTAATTTGGGGGGAGGGGCTTAATTTGATTTTATGCCGATAAAACATGCTGGGCCTTCCTATTGGTGGAGGCCGTATTGTTGGGGAAACACGGTATAAACATGATTATTAATACATGAAGTGGATAAGAATAAAAGGGAGCATTAGGACAGGGGCAATAGGAATGTTGGTGCGCTTATGCACGCCTCTTAAAGGCCTCTTAGGAATGAGGTCAACAGTAGACAGTCTGAGGTTAAAGTTTTTTGGGTTTTGTTTGTTGAGATCCTTCTGAGATAATGTCATGATTCCAAGTAATGATCCCAATCAGTTCAGGACTCTTGGGGCTGTAGCTTTTCTCAAAGATCTCCTTTATTGGGTTTGTTCCAGTGTGATTCCAACTCTAAATATTTCCTACAATTTGGCATAATTAAAAAATTACATATTCCCCACCCCCACCCCACCTGGTTGACCAACCAGGTAAGTGGCGGACTTCTCAGCTGCTTCCTCCAGCTGTTATGAGTGCTCATTGAGATGACCTTGGTTCCCACCAGCCCTATCACTGTTATGTCTGGCACATTAGAAGAAAACATTTCACAGTCCCTTGGCCCCCTCTTCCCCCCATACAGTATGTATGGCAACTAAGAAATGAAGCAAAAGAGAATGTGACTTCAGCTAAAGTAATTTCGAGAGTTGACAGATAAGCTGAAAGCTTTTGACATTATATGTGTTGAGCCATCTGTTGTTTAATTATATTGGCAAACTTTCTTTTTCCCAAAATGGCTACTTTACAGCGTATAGAATAACAGAGTTGGAAGGGACCTTGGAGGTCTTCTAGTCCAACCCCCTGCCCAAGCAGGAGACCCTATATCGTTCTCTTCCAATTGCTTCTTAAAAACCAACCCAATCTTTATAATCTAGCATGGAGATTCTGTGAAATTGAAATGCTTTAACATTTCTTTGTCCTTGTTTTGATCCATCTCATTACCCAGTTCATAGGGTTCTAATTGCTTCTTAAAATGGTTGCTAATTTCCTTAATTGGATATCAACAGGATACTGATTTCACCCCAGATTCCAGATGACCTCTACTGTGGCTTAGCACTATACAAGTGATGAACAATGCGTGGGACAACGTGGAACTATACAGGGCACTAACAACCAGCAGCTCACGTGTCAAACTGATACTAGACCTGTGGCATGAAATAAGTTTCAGAGTTATGAAGCTAGGAAAGCAAATTTTGATTCTTTTTCTTTTTTCTTTTCCTTCCTAGGATATACAGCTTCATTGATAGATGGGCGCACGCAACGCAGTATCAATGTCACCTTTTCTCTCAATCCAGATCGCCTCAAGCAAGCCAGACAGTATGTGGAGAGAGCTATCAAGGTAATGATACTGACTGAATTTGCCTCCCTAGATTAGCTTCCCTAGATCAGCCTCAGAGTACAGAGAAGGGCAACAGAGAGGATTGGGGGACCAGAGGCTAAAACCAGGGGAGGGCTTCAAAAATTTTAGCAACAGGTTCTCTGCCCGGTTGCTGGGTGGGCGTGGCCTGGTTGGCCTCCTGCACCATGGTGGGTGTGGGTGTTATTGCCCTCCCTGGGCTCCGGAGGCTTTCCTTGGGCCTCCAGGAGGGCAAAAATGGCCTCCCCGGGCTCTGGAGGCTCTCTGGAAGCCAGAAACGGGCCCACTTTCGGCCTTCCCAAACTTCTGGGAGGCCCGTTTATCACCCTTCCTGAGCCTCCGTGCACACCCTGCACTTACCTGCATCCAAAATGGGCCACCTGGGGACTCCTGGGAGGGGCAGGGCGGGGTGGGCGGGGCCAGGCAGTTAGTGGGGTTTGGGGGTTCTCTGAACTGTGCATAATCTTAGTTAGGGGATCTCCCCAAACTCCAGCAGCCCATCCCTGGCTAAAACATATGAAGAATAGTTGCAGGAACTGGGTATGTCCAGTTTAACGATAAGAAGGACTAGGGGTGACGTGATAGCAGTGTTCCAGTATCTAAGGGGCTTCCACAAAGAAGAGTATGTCAGCCTCTCTTCCAAAGCACCAGAAGGCAGGACAAGAAGCAATGGATAGAATAATCAAGGAGAGAAGCAACCTAGAACTAAGGATAAATTTCCAGTGAAATGGCTTCCCTCCAAAAGTTGTGGGTGCTCTGGAGGTTAAAAACACTGGTGGTTTTTAAGAAGAGATTGAACAGCCATTTGTCTGAAATGGTATAGGGCAGCGGTCCCCAACCTTTGTAGCTTGGCAGCCTGGCGGGAGAGGGGAAGAGGGGAATCAGGCCTGCCACTTGCACAACCCGGTTGCGAATAGACCATGGCTTGGTAGTGGGCCACGGCTTGGGGGTTGGGGACCCCTGGTATAGGGTTTCCTGCTTGAGCTGGTGATTGGACTAGAACAGGGGTGGCCAACCTTTTGGATCTCAGGGACCACCAAAGTCATAATTTTAAATCCCGGGAACCACTAACCAGTTCTGTGGGTGTGGCCTAATTTGTGGGTGTGGCTTGGTCATGTGACTGGTTGGGCATGGCTTGTATGTAAATATTATAAATATTTATATAAATATTGAATTTTGTATATAAAAAAGAGCAACTTTTACCCCAAATCAGGCAAAGCAGGCAGGCAGATTGAGTTGCTCACAGAATCACAGATTCACTTAGAGATCTGTGTTTCTGCCATCGGCTACCTGAGTCTGTCACATAAAATTTGCTTGCAAGCAACCTCATAAAATTAACTCACAACGCACCATGTATGTAAATATTGAATTTTTTATTTTTAAAAAAGAGCAACTTTTACCCAAAATCAAGCAAAGCAGCTTTGTGTTCCCACACAGTCTGGATTAATTGCTTTGGTGGGGAGGTGCTCTGGGGGTGACATTTCTCTGCGGACCACCAAAATTTTCTCTGCGGCCCACTAGTTGGCGACCACTGGACTAGAAGACCTCCAAAGTCCCTTCCAACTCTATCATTCTGTTATTCTGCCATTGAAACTTTTCCTTTGTTTTGGAACGCTGCCCCTAAGCTCCACTTGGTCTTCCTCCTGCAGTGCAAAGTAGCATAATCCTCTAATTCTCCTGCCAACTCCTAGCAAAGGAAGATCTTTATGGTCCATGGTCCGTACCCCATCATCCGAAGACAACTTCTTGTCAGAGGCTGGGTGGAGAGGAAGTTCCCAAAGATGCCAAAAATGGTTGCTAAGCGGGAACGTTTCCCTGACGGCGAAGCTGATGAAGATGGTGATGACACTGATGTAACTGATGATGGTAAGCCTCAACCACTTGTCTGGAATGGTATAGGGTCTCCTGCTTGAACAGGGGGTTGGACTAGAAGACCTCTAAGGTCCCTTCCAACTCTGTGATTCTGTAATTCTCCAAATTCACTCCTGCAAATACTTTGGTTTTCATTTTGCATTACTCCTGGTGACCAGTGAAAATAGATCATACAACTTGCCATCTAATTATTAATTACTGAGTCTGTCATCTGCACCTCTGTAACTGTCTGGTTTGGCTCTGCAACCCAACAGGTCAGACACAGACTTCAGAGGATAATTAGGACTGCAGAAAAAAACAATTACTACCAACCTGCCTTCCATTGAGGACCTGTATAACGTACGAGTCAAAAAGAGGCCTGTGAAAATATTTACAGACCCCTCACATCCTGGACATAAACTGCTTCAACTCTTTCCCTCAAAACAACGCTATAGAGCACTGCACACCCGAACAACTAGACACAAGGACAGGTTTTTCCCATACGCCATCACTCTGCTAAACAAATAATTCCCTCAACACTGTCCAACTATTTACAAAGTGTGCACTACTATTACTGTTAAATCTTCTCATCACTCCTTATCACCCATCCCCTCCCACTTGTGACTGTATGACTGTAACTTTGTCACCTATATCCTTACGATTTATATGGACTGTTTCCTAGTATGATTTGATTGCTTATTGTACCCTATGACTATCATTAAGTATTGCACCTTAAGAGTCTTGACTCTTGAATGTATCTTTTCTTTTATGTACACCGAGAGCATTTGCACCAAGACAAATTCCTTGTGTGTCCAATCATACTTGGCCAATAAAGAATTCTATTCTGTTCTAATATATTGGAATGGCAGCAGATCAGGGAAATTTATTTTATCCTGTCAATATTTATTTTGGCTATGCAATCCTTTAAATTCAATTCCATGTAGGTACCGTGGAACATGCAAGGGCATAAAATACCACTGTCTGTAATTCTTTAAAAGAAGACACCAATTTCCCCAGGACTGTGTAGCAAAAGCTGATACTTTCAGGGAAAGTTGAAGTTGCTTTTAAACATTTGGCAGGCAGGTGCTTAGTTCATGATCTCATATGCCCCAAAACAGCAGGATATTTTTTTTATTGTTTGTTACATTTACAGTTATGTGAAAAAGAAAATACACCCTCTTTCAGTCCCATGGTTTTAGGTATTAGAACATAATAAAAATCAGCTGGTCCTTAATAGTTTTTAAAATTAGGTGAATGCAACGTCAAATGAACAACAACACAGGACTTATTACACCATGTCATCATTTGTTTTTGCAAATTTTATTTTACAAAAAGAAAGTCAAAATGGAGAAGCCGTTGAGATGTTCAGACTCTCAAAAAGATGTTGAGACTCTAGAAAAAGTATAGAGAAGAGCAACCAGGATGATTAGGGGACTGGAGTCCAAAATATATGAAGAACGGTTACAGGAACTGGGCTTGGATAGTCTAGTGAAGAGAAGGACCAGGGGAGACATGATAGCGGTCTTCCAATATTTGAGGGGCTGCCACAGAGAGGAAGGGGTCAAGCTATTTTCTGAAGCACCCGAAGGCCAGACAAGGAATAATGGATGGAAACTGAACGAGGAGAGATTTAACTTGGAAATAAGGAGAAACTTTCTGACAGTGAGAACAATCAACCAATGGAACAGAAGTTGCCCTCAGAAGTTGTGGGAGGGCCATTACTTGAGACTGTCAAGAAGAGGTTGGACTGCCATTTGTCAGAAATGGTGTAGGGTCTCCCGCTTGGGTGGGGGGGTTGGACTAGATGACCTACAAGGTCCCTTCCAACTCTGATTATCTGTTATCATCTGTGTGTGAATAACTAAGTATACCTGATGACTCGGATGCTGCAACTGTCATAAATATGAACCAGTTGCCGAGCGTCCAAATTTTGATCCACGGATGGGGATGCTGCAATAAAGGTGAAAAACGGTCTGAAGTCACTTTTTAAAGTGCTGATGTAATTTTGAACGGTCATTAATGAAGTAGGTGGTAAGCTGAGGACTATCTGTATGTCCATTGTACGGCAGCTCTTTCTTTCTGATTTTTATTCCTTTTTTTTTCATACTACAGATTATGAAGAGGAAGATGAGCAGGATGATACTGATGGTATCTATAACCTCATGGTTAGTTTGGGGTACCAGAGTGATCTGCCCTTTAAATGCTTCATTTTATTACTGTGTATTTTTTCCATTTTCCTCCCCATAAAATAGGAGCAGGTTCTACTTGGTTCTCCCTTTCCCATCAAATTAATTTTGCACAGAAGGCCTGAGAGGTAAGCTGCTTTAGAGAGCAAACAGACCCCAATGGTATCGTAGTCCAACTGTCAGAATTCTGGCAGTTACTCCCATTTGAATCATGAGTCTCTAGCTGAACTTCCAAAACATAAAGAAGATTTATTAGGAGTAAACATGCCGGCGCTGCCTGGGTGTAGCTGACTCTGAGACACATCATTCTTTGTCACCCTTGACCCTGGTTTTCCCTCACCCCCTGGGTGTATCATAATTCATATTCTCCAATGGGACACATCCATAGCCAAGACTCATCAACCATCCTCTCCAGTCCAGGTAGAATTCTGCGCAGCAGAAACTTCAGTCACCTAGAAACTATCTTTGAAAACATGTATGGAATGCAAGATTCCCACTGTTCCCCCCTCCCTTTCTGTTGGCAACTCTAAAAAGATCATAGAAATATTTTATGAGTTGACACCAACAGGACTCTCTCGATCCAAGACACAGCATCCTTTGATTGCATTCATGTAACAGGCTCAATTTGATTATACTGAACTTAATGCGTTAATTATAGACTTACACAATATATTATATAATAAACTAATCCAAGCAACTGAAGTCCCCAAACATGCTAAGCCAGCAGTCCGCAATCTTTCCAGTTTGGCAAGTCAGTGGGGGGTGGTGGAAAAGATGGTTTTGTGTGAGTGGCAGGTGTGCACAAGTGTGAACGCCTGCTGCTTGTGCAAATGGGGCTGCATGTGCACAAGTGCTCACCCGCTTCTTGTCTGGCCCAGTTCCAAATGGGCTGCGGCCCAGTAGTGACCTGCAGCTCTGGAGTTGGGGACCCCTGTACTAAGCCACAAAAATCTGACTCCTGCTAAACCAGTGATTCCTAAGCTTTCCAGTTTGGCAGAGCAGTGTGTGTGTGTGTGTGTGTGTGTGTGTGTGTGTGTGTGTGTGAGGGAGAGAGAGAGAGACGGGACCTCTGCACTAAGCCACAAAAATCTAACCTGGATTGGAATTCAAATTTAGTACACTGCAATGAATGGAGTTGCTGGGCCTTTATCCATCTATGCATGTTTACAGATCCAACTTGTCTCTTCACCTGACACTCATTTATTTTGAATTCTTACAATTATTTGCCACTGAACTCTTTACTATGCCCTATTAATTTTCAAACGATGTTGACGTGATTTCTTATTATTACACGTCAGTCCTTTGTCTTTACCCGCTGTTCCTTTTTGCCCCCTTTCGTTGGCAGTCAAGGCTGGTTCGTAACCAGATCCCCTACTTCATCTGGACCAATCGGCGAGATGTGATCGATTGTCGCTGCCTGCGCAAGGACCAGATGATGAATCACTACGCCAAGGCAGGGACCTTCACTACCAAGGTGAGCAGAGGAACATTACATAAACATCTGGACCACACAAGTAGTATGTATTTGTTAAGAGCCCTGGTGGTGCAGTGGTTAGAATGCAGTATGGCAGACTAACTCTGCCCATTGCCCAGCAGTTCGATCCTGACTGCCTCAAGGTTGACTCAGCCTTCCATTCTTTTGAGGTCAAACACTTAAACCAGTGGTGTGTTTCAAAATTGTCTACCACCGTTTCAGTGGGTGGGGCTTGGTGGGTGCATTTTGTGCATGTGCACACACTTTGCGTGTACGCGTGTGCCAAATGCGCACTTTGCGCAGGTGCAGAGGTGTTCCAACTCACCTCCTGCAAGCCTGCACTCTCTTGGTCGCTTCAGCAGCTGCCGGGCGGCTCTCTTCTGTGCCGCGCAAAGCAGCTGCGCTTCAAATTCAGAGGATAAAGGTGAGTATGGGAGCCCGGGTGGGCAGGTGGGCCCAACAGGAGAGCAGCGGAGAGAACCAATTCGGTCTTCATTGGTCATTGGTGCTGCTTGGCTTGGCAGAACCGGACCGAACCAGTAGAATACCACCACTGACTTAAACCCAGATTGTTGGGGCCAATATGCTAACTCTGTTTAGAACTCGCCTTAGAACAGGGGTGTCAAATTTTTTCAAAGGCTGGATCAGCATTGTTGTCCTCTGTGGGCCAGCTGAGTGTGGGTGGGAGATGGGATGGACACCTCCTGCAGTCGTCCCTGTGCCCTGTTTTGGCTGGCAGAGTGCTACAGGAGACTGTCCAGGCCGAAAATGGGGCACGGGGGGGGGCGCATGCATCCCCCCGTTTCCCATTTTTGCTACCAGAGGCACCTCAGGCTGATTCTTTGCTATTTAGAGGGCCTTCAGTTTGACATCCCTGGCTTAGAGAGTGTTATAAAGCACTGTGAAGCGGTATATAATTATAGGTGCTATTGCTATTGCTATATCCTCTCTCTCAGGTAGGGCTGTGTCTTAACCTGCGTAACCTGCCATGGTTTGACCAGGCTGATGCAGATACTTTTTTCCCACGGTGTTATCGTCTTGGAGCTAAAGATGAAAAACATGCTTTCATTGGTAAGAAGTATTCACAACAACTGGTCGGCAGAAATCTGTTTCGCATTGGCCAAATAATCACACTGTTGTGGTTCGGGGGCAGCCTGTGCAGACAGCAGTGGAATCGGACAGTGGGGAAGAACAGGGACCAGTCAGGGAGTCTGGAGAGGACTCTGATGAGGGTCCTGCGTCCAATGCAGGGATGGGGCCAGGACCATCTGGGAGTGGGGTGCTGCCTCTGGAGCCTTTGGAGTCTGGCAGCAATGAGGCAGAGGACCCAGGGGAGCTTGTTCCCAGTGCACGTATGCACAGAGCTGCTAGAAGGCAGCTGAAACAAAAGAGGCAACTTAGGAGTAAGGCTGGGAGGTGATTGCCCCTCCCATAAGATATAAAGGACAGGCAAAGATGACAAAACCTTTGCAGGAAGCAAAATAGTTCATTTGATTCAGATTCATTTTTAAAGCTCTTCAGTTGTTTTTTTCTAGTTCATTTGACACTTCTGTTATTGGCAGCACTTCACAGAAAAGAAAGGTGGGTGCTTATCTCAAGGGACTGTTTGAGATTCATTATCAGCTGGGAATGAAAACAATTCCCAGCATTGCAATAAAACAAGACTTTTTAAAATAAGTGTGTGCATAATTACAGTCTTAGAAGCCTTGATCAGAACACACACTGGTCAGCAGATTAATTAGAAAAATAGACAGAAACTCCTTTTGAATCCCAGGGGAAAAGGAAAAAAATATCCCGACTTACATGTGAGAGTTGTGTGTAGTTTGCCGGCTATGATTTGTGTACCACTGCTATTAAATTCTTGGGATGAAGCAAGTTTAGAAATGGAAATAACTGCTTTGCTAGGAATTACGCAGCTTTCTGCTTTTTATGGTAGAGGACTTCCAACTCACTGCAGCCAGGAGCCTCCTCAAAGTAGTGGTGAAACGATACTGGAAAAAACCGACTTTCCTGACAGCCTTGGATGAAAATCAGAATGAGTTCCTAAGTGGTCCAGGGTCTTCAGGTGGGTACAGCTAGTAGAAAATCTGGGGGAATTAAAAGAACTATAATCTCGTGCAAGGGTGGGCTTCATAAATTTCAGCAACAGGTTCTCTGCCCGGCTGCTGGCTGGGCATGGCCATGGTGGGCGTGGCCTAGTTGGCCTCCTGCACCACGGCGGCGGGTCTTCACCTTCCCTAGGCTCCAGAGGCTTTCCTCGAGCCTCTGGGATGGCGAAAACTGCCTCTCCCGGGCGCCAGAGGCTCTCCGGAGACAGGCCCATTTCCGGATTTCCAGAACTTCCGGGACGTCCATTTTCCCCCCTCCCCAAGCCTCCTATGGGCCCTGTACTTACCTCGCATCCAAAACAGGCCGCTTGGAGACTCCTGGGAGGGGCAGGGGGCAGGGCCAGCCACGGGTAGGATTTGGCGGTTCGCCGAACCAGCAAATAATGTTAGCAATGGGTCCTCCTGAACTCGGGCAAACCCGTAGCAGCCCACCCCTGATTTCGTGCCAGAGTCTATGGAAAGTCTGAAAGGCTGGACTTCATGGAGCAGGACAAATGGCGAGAAGCTCGAGGGTTTTAAATGCTTTTTGCCTTACTACTTTTCTTAATGCGTCATGATGATTACATCCTGTAGGGAAATAGCCTTTGTGATCTGGCTATTTTAAGGGCTTGAATTCTAGTTTGTGAATCAAAGCAGCACAACTGGAGTGCAGAAAGACTTCGTTTCCTATACTTGAACGCTTTGTTATCTTCCCAGAACCATTTTAGGGATTTTATCTCATTTTCCTTATTGTGAATGCCGGTAAAAATGCACTCCAGCTACTTGGATGCAATCTTCACTTGCTCAGCTCTAATTAGACCAAGGATGTAGAGGTATTATTCTGCTACTGATCTGAGAATTATTTTAAGAGGAAGTTTGGTTGTGAAATTGGGGTGTTAGAACCACACCGGGGACCTTGACGTAATCTGAGACACATTTACTTCAGATTCAGAAGATACAACCCTGGCCCTTGTGAGCTTTGTTTTCACTGGCAGAGGTACTACGGGCCAGTCCTTCAATGTTTCCAGCCCCGGGCCTTGAGTTTGACACTCCCGAGGTAGAGCAAGATGGGGAACGTATTATGATAAATCGGACCTTTTTGTACATGTAACAAAATGACATCTAGGCACTCATCAGGAGTCAACTCTGGCTTGAGATATTTAGGTACAAAACAGGCAGAGCGCGGGGAGGGGGCTTATATCCTCTACCTGTTTGCCTTTTTGCCCCTCACCCTCCCTTGGACAGCAGTGCTCAGGCTGTCACCTACCCAGGATTGCTGGGTCTATAATCTCTCCCTTCTAGAAGCCAAGCATCGTGGTCGCCACAAGAAAGGGCCCAACTTCTCAGCCCAGCTGATTGAGACAGCAATACATGCTTGTGAGGAGCACTTGAGCAGCCTGAAACATCAGGACATCGACAGAGATTCTGGATCTGCCTTGCAACTTTCGAAAGGACACTGGCAGGACTTTCTGCACAGCTATTATCAGATAGCCCAGTAAGCACAAATGTTTGAACTTTGTGGGGGGCAAGGAAGCCACCAGTTTCTGCAATCAATAGACCCGGGGGTGGGATTCAGCCAGTATGGACCGGTTTGAGCAAACCGGTAGTTCCGGTGCCGAGTTGGCCCTGCCCACCTGCCCCTGCACTAGTCTGTCCTATATTTCCTTTGTTTGAAGCCAAGCTGATAGGCACGGCAGAGCGGGTTGCCACGCCTCAGCTGTTTTATTCACCAGCACTGACGGTAAGGTAAGTTTTAGAGCTGTTTTCTAATGCACCACGTGCGCTCACTGAACTGGTTGTTACATCAGTTGAATCCCACACTGAATAGACCTCATTGTCAGGATTCCAGCAACCACTCTAATTAAATCATGATTCTCAAGCCAAACTTCAAAAAACATCAAAGGATTCATTAGAGGCGACATACTCGCACTGCCCTGTATGAAGCCAACTCTGCCATACATAATTTACAGTCACCTGTGACCCTGTTTTCCCCCTCCCCCCGGGTGTCTCATAAACCAGATTCTTCAATTGAGTATATTCATGGGTTGTGTGTCACCAATCACATTCTCCAATTAAGGATTTTCACGGGCTAAAACTCTGGTATTTTAGTTACAGTCTTTTAAAGATAAGAGTTGAATGTACCTTGGCTTTCAACTGCTCTTCCAGATTTACCCCCCCCCCCCGGTTAATGGGGGAGAGCCAGATTCACTTAATACTGCATGAGTCCCTTAACAACTGCTGCACTTCATTTAACAATGATGACAAAAAGGTCGTAAAATGAAGCACAATGCTCTTAACCAACTACTTCACTTAGCAATGGAAATTTTAGACTCAATGGTGGTTGTGAGCCAAGGACTTCTCCTCAATAAAAAATAAATAAAGAAATACATAGGCAGCCTTCTGACAATCAAGGGCTATAGTAGGGAAACAGTGGCCTGATGATGCCAAGGGACTATTTCCAATGGTCTTCCTGTTGAGGGAGGTGGATGAGAACTTTCAGTATGTTGACATGAATGGTGTCAACTCGTAAAATATTTCTGTGGTCTTTTTAGAGTTACCAACAGAAAGGGAGGGGGAAGCAGTGCAAGAGCTTGCATTCCATAAATGTTTTCAAAGATTGTTTCTAGGTGACTGAAGTTTCTGCTGCACAAAATTCTAACTGGAGAACATGATTGATGACTCTTGGCTATGGATGTGTCCCATTGGAGAATATGAATAATGATACACCCAGAGGGGCGGGGGAAAACCAGGGTCAAGGGTGACAATGAATGATGTGCCTCAGAGTTCAGCTACACCCAGGCAATGCCACATCTTTTGACTCCCATTAAATCCTTTTGGAGTTTGGCTAGAGACTCATGATTTAAATGGAGTTAAGCGTCGGAATCCTGACAGCTATCCAACTCTGAGGCACATCATTCATTTTCACCCTGGACCCTGGTTTTCCCCCCGCCCCCTGACAAACGGTTTATGACACATTTTTTGTCTCCATATGTTAGGAATTTATTTATTTATGTATTTATTAATTATTAAATTTATATGCCACCCATCTCACTAACAAACGACTGTGGGTGGCTTACACATTATGCTGTTGTTTCTTAATGGCTTGCCCTCAAATGTTGTGCAATAACACAATTTCTAGGGGCTCAGAAGCCATTTGCCACCCCTAGGCCATAGGTTCTCTCTCCCTGGCACAGGTTACGACCATAGAAGGGCATTGTGTTCAGGCTATTGAGTCAAACGTTTGTCATTGCAGTGAAGGGGCCCAGATGACGCACACAGATAGCCTCATTGAGCGCTGTGAAGATATCTTGCAACGGCTGCAAAAAGTCGTCCCTCAGTTGGACATGGAAGGGGACAGAAACATCTGGATTGTCAAACCAGGAGCTAAGTCCCGTGGCAGAGGTAAGTCTGCTGGACATGAATTAAATACCTCAAATAGCCTGAGAGATGGAATTGACAAAGCAGTTGGGTGATGCTTCAGGCTGTGCAGAGGTTTTGGCTGGATTCATACATCATATCAAACTGGTATGACTCCCCTTCAAAATTCAAACGAACAAAACAGAAAGCAGCCATTTCACAATTAAATCAAACGGAAAGAAGTCTTACAAGATAATGGCTGGCAGAAACCACAGCATAAATCTTTACTCTGTCCGGCAAACCAGTCCTGGCAATAAATCTCAAGTCTCAGAGCTTCTTGCTTTAATGTCCTCACTCAATAAGTCACTTCGTTCCTGGCAAATTTTACCAGCCCAGCTGTGTCCTTTTATACTCATTGAGGCAACCTGCTAATTTACTGACTCGCCCTCCTCCTTCGTTCCAGCTGAGTTTGCCTTCTCAACCACTTCTGTTCCTTACATTTAACCACAAATTTTCCAAGTTCTCATTTCCACTAGAAGACTCTCTCAAAACTTCCCTGTCAGCCATTCCCGGCTGTTGATCAGATAAGGAACCAGAGGAGGTCAAAGGTCCTGACAATTCTAATACATCAGGTCTGTCTTCCTTTGTCACGTCCATCTCCTCATCCTGGTTATCAGTCCAATCACTGAGCCATGCCGGCTCATATTTTTCTGCCATGTCCTCCTCACTTGAACTCATATCAGTCACAGGAGCTGAATCCAAGCCCAGAGCCACAACATCAAACCATTCCTTAATCATGGTTTGTTAGGCAAGAAACTATTGTACTAGATAACTTTGCATGAGTAAGACTAAGAAAATCATATTGTGGCTCAGTATGACATCTGGACTCAGATTCTGTATTTCCACATAATTGGTAAAGGACATTGAAAGCTGCCGGGGAACTGTTCAGTGTAATTTAACGTCAACAGACATCATTCAACCCTAATTTTGGCCTTGTCAACTTCATGGCCCTCTGGCTTCCCAAAGCTCTTCATCCAGATTATTTGTAAAAAATATGCTGCACTGGTAACAAATTGTGGGTTTGGATTTTAATCCATTATTATTGTGGTTGGTTACAGCCAGTAAGATGAATGAGGCATTCAGTAAAAGGCATGTATAAGGTATTTGAGCAAAATTTAAAAGGGCACTTCCCTTTTATCATGCTTCTAATTGTTAATTTACTTTATGATTTGTTTAGTGTTAATTTTGATTTTATGTTTTTAATTTTCTACACTTTGCTTTTGCCTTTTAAACATTTTGTTAGCTGGCTTAAGTACTCATCAGAAAACCAATCTAATGCAGTGGTTAAAGTGCTGGCCTACAAAGTAGGTGATTATAAATTATAGCCCCACTTTAGTCATGAAAGCTAATTGGGTGACTTTGAGCCAATCCACAGGAGATTGTGAGATCTAATCCTGCCTTAGGTACGAAAACCAGCTGGGTGATTTTGAACCAGTCACTTTTTCTCAGCCCAACTTACCTCATAGAATTGTTGTGGGAAAATAGTAAATATGTAAATAAATATAGAAAGGCAGGGTATACATCAAATAAACAAAGAGCATTTTCCAATAGGCATTATGTGCATGGACCGCTTAGAGGAGATTGTGAAACTAGTGGACTGTGACCCCATGATTGTCAAGGACGGCAAATGGGTGGTACAGAAATACATCGAGACACCCCTGCTCATCTTTGGCACCAAGTTTGACTTGCGGCAATGGTTTTTGGTGACTGATTGGAATCCCCTCACCATCTGGTTCTATCGACATAGTTACATCCGTTTCTCTACACAGCCCTTTTCCTTACACAATCTGGATACGTGAGTTTGTCTTCTTGTTGACTCTATCATCTTATATTATTCCATGTGTGGATGCACACAAGAGCAAGAAGAAGCAGTGAGATTTTCTGCCTCATTAAGAACTTCGGTTTAATCTAGTCACTGTCTTAATTGGGGAGTGGGGAGATTGATGTCCCCTTAAAACCTTCAGGATTATTCATGTTAATCCAGAGTAAATATTTGGGGAGGTCTATATGAAAACATTGGAGCACTGCCTCTAGCATGGGCAGCTTCACATGGTCATATGCTTCCAGTGACTTAACTGGCAATCCTATTGTCATTAAACTAGGGTCCTTTCTATAGAAAAATTTACTGAACAGCAGCTATGAAATAGTATGTAATTAGGTTTGTCCCTTATAGAAAAGACAAGAAAAAGAAGCAGGATTGTATGGGGTGACTGGAAATGGAAAAGGAAAAAAAAGGGGAAACACAAAGATACTAAGAATGTGAAAATGAGTATCAGTTCAATACAGATATGAAAAAAATCACCTGAGAAGTAGATATATATTTGAAGGAATTTTTAAAAAGAGCTGTAAATAATATATTTCATAGCAGAATGAGCAAGGAAATATTGCTTCAAAGGAGTGTTATTTTGTGGGAATCAAAAGAAGATGAAAAAAACAAGAATGAAATCTATCTATTAATTAAAGCAAAGACGTGTGTGTGTGTGTGTGTGTGTGTGTGTGTGTGTGCCCAAAAGGCTGTCTCTGCCTGTTATAGTAGATGAAGTGCTAAAAGGAAGGACTCCGGGCTTAAATCTTAGAAAACTATTCTCATTTATTATGGCAGACTATGCAGAAATACTGTAAATAATAGATCATTGACGTGACTCTGTAGAACATTGCATCCAATATCTGTTTGCTTGATTTTTCCAAATTGAACTTGTGTTATTGTTAATTTTCTTATATTTAGTACTGCTTAATACTTTTCTTAATGCCATTCCACTCTACTACAAACAGAGAGTCAATTTGGTCTAATGGTTAAAGATTACCTAGTTTAGGTAATGAAATGTCTGCAAGAAGACAACCAAGCTCAGAGAGCACCAAAGATCCTAAATAAAATATAATAATTACGAACTTCAAATCACAATTATCATATGATAAATACCAGTAGGAAAGATTAGTAAAATGAGGTATTTTTATGACTTTTCTAAAAAAACAGAGGAAGTGAGGACTGATTCCAGTTCCAAAAAAAGTATGTTCTATAATTTCAGATCGAGACAGGAAAAGGACCTGTCCTATGTGCCCAATAAGGAGTTTCTATAGGCTGCGCGTTGTTGACATATCCTGTGTTAAAATCCTTTGCATATGATCTGGTCCCAGTTATTGATCCCTTCTTCTTCTTCACCCCAGTTCCATCCACCTGTGCAATAACTCCATCCAGAAACATTATGAGAATTCCCTGAACCGCCATTCTGAGCTTCCCTCAGACAACATGTGGTCCTCTGATCAATTCCAGATCCACCTGCGGAAAATGGGGGCGCCCGAGGCCTGGTCCAAGGTGATTGTGCCTGGTATGAAGGCGGCCATCATTCATGCCATACAGACCTCTCAGGACCTCGTGGAGTTCCGCAAAAACAGCTTTGAGCTTTATGGGGCAGACTTTCTCTTTGGAGAAAACTACCAGCCGTGGCTGATTGAGATCAATGCGAGTCCCACCATGGCAGCTTCTACGTCTATCACCACTCAGCTGTGTGCCAGTGTGCAGGAGGATACCTTACGAGTGGTAATTGACCGCAAATACGATCGCAATTGCAACACAGGAAACTTTGAGCTCCTCTATAAACAGGTGAGCGTTCCTGTCTGAATCCAATTCCGTGGAATGACTGCCTCATGTTTTCCGGGTTGATTCTCTTTCTTTCGGATCTACCTAATTTGGGGTTCTACCTGTGCAACTCAGAGTACAAAGTAGTCCTTGACTTACAAGCACAATTGAACCTCAATTGTTTTTGTTGCTAAGCAAGACAGTTGTTAAGTAAATTTTGCCCTTTTTACAAGCTTTCTTACCATGGTTGTTAAGGGAATCATGGTAATGATATGGTGTAATATGGTGGTTAATTAGTAATATGGGGTTTAAATGGATTTGGCTTACCCATTGACTTTTGGTTGCAAAAGCTGATCACATGACACTGGAACTTCTGGGAGGGTCGTTTTTGCCTTCCCAAGGATCCGGAGGCTTCTCTTGGGCCTCGGGAGGGTGAAAATGGCCTCACCCGAGCTCTGGAGGCCCTCCGGAAGCTGGAAACAGGCCTGTTTTGAGACTTCTGATTCTTCCAGGGAGAGAGGCATTTTTCATCTTTCTAAGGGTCCAGAGGCTTCCCCCGGCCTCTGGGAGGGCAAAAATGGTCTCCCCTGGACTCTGGAAGCTTTCCGGAAGCCGGAAACAGGCCCGTTTCTGGACTTCCAGAAGGCCCATTTTCTCCCCTCCCAGAGCCTCCACATGGACCCTGCACTTATACCTGCATCAAAAATGGGTCGCATGAAGACCAGGATGGGCAGGGCCAGCCGGTCGGTTCAAATACTGGTTCGGTGAACCAGGTGCAAATTTAACATCTGGTTCACCTGAACCGGTCTGAACCGGTAGAACTCCACCCCTGGCTGGGACGTCTGTAGGGGTGCTCAATGCTGGGGGTAACTGATAGAAGCCTCCACCCCGTGCTGTCTGCCCCCTTGGTCTTTAGTTCTTTAGTTCTAATTTAAGTCTTATTAATGTTAACTTTTTATATTTTTCCGGGTACCATTTTGTCAACCACTCAGAGTTGCTTTATTGGTGAGATGTGCGACGTATCAAAATAATAATTAATAAATACATTTCCGTGCAACTTCAGTGGCTTAATCAGTTGAGCCTTTTCCCCCTTCATTTCTTTAGCCAACAAAGCCCAAGGAATAGGCAGGGAAATCCACACTGGTATAATTGTAGCACATGAGCCTAGATATTTTCCCTGCTTACATTCTGTGTGTGTGTGTGTGTTTGTTTTGTTTTTGTTTCCTGAGTTGGAAATAAATTGTATCTATGGCCCATTCTGACGCCATCTCAGTTGGCATCTAGATCTCAAATATGAGTCAAAAAAGAGCCCACCAGTAGAAATTGCATCTTATGTTTCTTTATTTCAATAGCGCTATAGAGCTCTCCTGCAGGGCATTAAATAATGACTTTATTGCTTAGCAACCAAAACTCCGGTTACAAGTCAAGGACACCTGTATCTACATAACATTAGTGATGGCAGTAGCACTTAGATTTATATACTGCTTCACGGTGCTTTACAGCCTTCTCTAAGCAGTTTACAGAATCAGCATGTTGCCCCGCAACCATCGGGGTCCTCATTTTACCGACCTCGAAGGATGGAAGGCCGAGTCAACCTTGAGCCGGTGAGAATCAAACTGCTGGCAGTCGGCAGAGTTAGCCTGCAATGCTGCATTCTAACCACTGTGCTACCACGGCTCTAGTGAAGTGCTGCACCCTGCCTCATTCAGTTGTGGTGTGGTAATCAGCTATATTTCCTGACTTATCATTTGCACCAGACTAAATAGTTGGTCAGATGTTTTCTCCTGCGCTTGCTTTGCCCTTGGCAGAAATTCATAGATTCCTTTTGGCCCACCCGCATCATTCCTCTTCTTCTCACGACAGGCTGCCGTGGAGATTCCCCAGTACATTGGCATTAGCCTTTTGGTAGAAGGATGCACAGTGAAGAAGCCTCAACCTCCACCCCAAAGAAGCCCCCCGCCAGCCACTGACACCAAGAATGGCTGCCCTGCTCCACAGCCGCAAAGAGTTCCTAAACCGATTCACCGGCGCAATAACCAAAGTCTTCCTCGGGCACCTACCCCATGCTGGACAGCAGCAAACAACAAGACCGCAGAGCCAGGAGCTCCTGGGAAGGAGAACAAAGTCAAAGAGAAACCCACCCCTAGCAAAGTCGCTCCTTCAGGCTCGGTGAGGTTTAAGCTGCCCAACAAGCTCAAAGCAGACCCCCGTAACCGAAGAGTGCTGATGGCACACAGTATGGCTACGACGACGGTCGTGTCGGAAGATAAAGTGTCACAGCCAACTCAGCTCTGTGCCAAATCGAGCTCTCAAGAATTGACTGCTAACCCCCAGGAACCTACTGTCAATCATGCCAAGCTCACCAGTATGGTAGGTAGGAAGCCGGGCCTGAGGCTACATCTGCAGGAAATCCATACTGTCTCCGGTGAGCTGCCTCTTTCTCATGCTCCCTTTTCTTCCTCCTATCCGGTGAGGCCCAAAGTGCAAGCCCGTTTGCAATGCTTAGGACACTCCTTCCTACATAACATACCCCTGCCCTCCACGCCTTCGTCCCCCAGGGGGGTGGATTTAGTTTCCACTGTGGAATTCAGTGCCATTAGAGCGTCTATGATCAAAAGGCGACTGTCCAAGAGAGCCAGAAACTATCCAGGACCCAAGAGCAACCCTCCCCTCAGGTTGATTGCTGTAGGCAAAAATCAAGCTATAGGGCCCAAGGAACACTTCTTTGTGCCTACGCAAACAGGAAATCATGTCGTTGGGAGTTGAACTCTCCTCCTTCCCAATAAAGTATTTTTTTTAAAAAAACAACAACTGGCCAGGATGTGTAATAGCAGGGTGAGTTCTAGGCCAGGGTGACTGAACAGCTGTTAGGATGACCATCTTCGGCAGTTGTGTGAAGAGAGGAAATAAGTAACGCTTAAGCTGGGAGTCAGAAAGACATGAGAAAACCAGGGGCTACATCAAGAGTAGAGAACGATGGCCCCTTTCTTTACAACTTGTGGACTTCAACTCCCAGAATTCATGAGCCAGCAGGAATTCTGGGAGTTGAAGTCCACAAGTCATAAAGGGGCCATCGTTCCCACCTCTAGACTACATGGTAGCTTGGGAAAAAAACCCAGGGTCGCATAGGTTTTCATAGGTGAAGAACTGAGAAAAGCAGAGTATAAATGTTGCCATAAATAAAATAAAAATATAAATGTAAGCAGGGATGGTTCTAGAATCTAATGCAAATCAGAAAACAGTTGTGATACACTTGACTAAATATGCTCAATGCCTGAAAGAAAGAAAAAAGTTAGCCAGCATGTTGAATTCAGACAGACAGGGCTAAGCAGGTTATAATTAGCATGCGTGTACTGTAATCACTCTTGGCCTCAGAGTACTGTTTAAGCCCAAAAGGAAGGTGGCTTCTGAGGAAAATGGGTAAGAATTATGCCAGTAAGAATGGGCATTCTTGAGGTTTTTAAAATCTCCAGTGTAATGCTAGGACATGTAAACAGGTGCATTGAATAAGAGTGCTATAAAAGGGTACAAATAGGATTTGGTCAGAGAGACAATATTTTTATACTGCTGGTCTTTTAGGTGATGGGGAAAAAAATCACCTAAAATAGTTTTTTAAATCACTCAGATTGATCTTGCAATTGATATATCAAAATAGACCCAGAAATAGATAAGGGAGCCCTTTCTAAAAGATATAAGGTAGCTAAGAAGCATCTTCTATCTTTGTTTAAAAAAAAATATGGCACATTGGAAAACTAGCTCTTGGAAGACTAGAACTTTTTTCAGAAATGATCCTATTATGTTTTTAGAATAATTCTAACATTTTAATGGTTGACTAAAAACTCCCTTCAACCAAATTGCAAAAAGCGAGTGAAATCTTCAATTTCCATCACATTTCACCCCTCCCAAAACAGGACAAAAATTTAGCTTGGCTTCATTGCAGTTAGCATTTTTTAGTGTTGTGAATCTGCCAGTGGCAAAATGTCCCAATCCATTCTTTTTAAAATCCCCTTTATTATCCAGAACTCCTCATACATTGCAGCACATTGCTTCTAACACTGACACAGAAAGTTTTGGTCTTTTAAAATCTTTTGTAAAATTGTTATAAAAGTATAAAGGGAAATGTCTGTATAGAATGATTACATGCTTTGCCTCTCTGGAGCCAGCTTGATGTATCATGTTCCTCTTGGTATATTCATCCATAAATCAAAAAGCAGGGTGGCATAAATTGGTTGGCATGATGAGAACCGTATTTGGCCTTTAAGTGATGTGTTTGGGGACACACTGCAAAAGGTAAGCAAAGGCAAAACAAAAACTGAATTTCATGAATGTGGTGCTTTGGATTTCATTCAAAAAGGTACTTTAAAATATGTAGGTCACTAAATATAACAGCTGTCTACAATTCTTTAGAGGCGCCTTTTGGAATTAAATTCAAAGTATTGTACAGACTTATTAAATACAGCTGGTATGATTGTTCCCAAAGGGACATGGTGGCTCAGTGGCTAAGATGCTGAGCTTGTCAATTAGAAAGGTTGGCAGTTCGGTGGTTTGAATCCCTAGTGCTGCGTAATGGAGTGAGCTCCCGTTACTTGTCCCAGCTTCTGCCAACCTAGCAGTTCGAAAGCATGTAAAAATGCAAGTAGAAAAATAGGGACCACTTTGGTGGGAAGGTAATAGCGTTCTGTGCGCTTTTGGCGTTTAGTCATGCTGGCCACATGACCACGGAGACGTCTTCGGACAGTGCTGGCTTTTTGGCTTTGTAACAGAGATGAGCACTGCCTCCTAGAGCTGGAAACAACTAGCACGTATGTGTGAGGGAACCTTTACCTTTATGATTGTTCCCACACATTTAAGAGTGCCACATTGGTATCTCGTAAACTAAAATAGTTCAGCAGCGAGTTTTTAAAGAGTTCTGCTTAAAGATATTGAGAGGTGAAAATTTGAGGCAAGAACTTCAAAGAAAAACAAACCAATGAGAAATGAGCTTGTTCAAGACCCCCAAAATATTGGCTTAAAATATTATTAGGGGAAGCAGAGAAGGAGCAGAGCTGAGAGTGGTTCTTATTTACAGGGCCTGGCAATTTTGTAGGCAGAGTGATTGTAAAGTAAATTGTCATGTGACCATGTCGACATGATGTCATTTTGGGCTCCGGTTGTTAAACAAATTACCTATGGTTGTTAAATGCAATATCACGTGACTGTGACTTGTGACTTCCTGCCAGTTTCCCCCTTAACTTTGTCAGAATCTGGCTGTGAAGGTCGCAAATAAGCAATCATGTGAGTGTGGATTTCTGTGAACATCATTTGTGTATGCTCGTTGCCAAGCACCTGAATCACAATCATGTGAATGTGGGAATCACTGCAACAGTCACAAATTAGCAGACTGGTCATAAATCTCTTTTTTCAGCACTGTCTTAACTTTGAAAGGTCACTGAACAGGTATTCGGTAAGCAAGGAGTACTTGTATTTTGTTGTCCCAATAATGTGTACAGGGATCCTGTAAACTAAATCTCTAGCAGCCACTATGTGGGAAATCCCCAAGCTGAAATGACAGCTTTGGTTGTTGGCAAGGACTATCCATTCTTTATAGAAATCTGATCTACTATCTCTGTGCATTTTGTGACTGATATTATTGCGTTCTACAGAAGTTTCCGATCCAATCCTCATTTTGAGTGGGAGCCAAAGTGCATTTGTGTTGGCTGAGCCGTCTGACAGCTAACTATAAAAGGGAGCTGTCAGACGGTATCAGCTGTTGCCCGTCAGCTGGCCATTCTGTTAGTTAGTGGCTGCCGCGGGTGTCTCTGTGAATTTCATGACTGATATCAGACGCTATCCAGTTTGTATTCTCAAGCCATTATGCAGAACCATCTCTGAGATACAGTGATAGAAATATTGCAGTTGAGTTTCACATTCTGAAGCAGAAAAGGCCTCTCCCCAACACCTTCTCACAATTATATCACTGGAGTGGTCATAGAAGGAATTGCAATACAAGTTTTGTTCATCCACATCTCCTTTCCTAGACAACGCAGCAAAAGCATCCCTCAGTCAGCCCATAAAAACCCAAGAGAATCTTCCTCCCCTTCTTTTTCTCCAGATTTCCTTCTCCTCCATTTTGTAAAGTGCTGCTCCCTTTTTTCCATAGTTCACATAACATTTACTATGCTCAAGATATTTTTAGCCTGCTATTTGAAGAGTTCCTGCCCTTAAGGAGAATTTGTGATTTGTGACTAGTGTGTAGTTCTGGCATGCCTTGTCTTTTGTGGGCCCCTTTGGCTCGTGTGAACAGGGCGCAGTGGCTCAGTAGAGGCTGAGCTTGTCAGCTGGACAGCTTGGGTTTGAGACTTGCCTACCTAGCAGTTTGAAAGCATGCACATGTGAGTAGATAAATAGGTACCACTTTAGCAATAAGGTGACAGTGTGTTGTGCACCTCAGCATATAATCATGTTGGCCACATGTCCATGGAAGTGTCTTCCAACACTACTTGATCCCTCAGCTAAGAAACGGAGATGAGCACTGCCCCCTAGAGTCAGGCAGGACTGAAAGAGGAAACCTTTACTTTTTTGGTCCATGTATACTTCTCCCAGAATTATCCTTTTACCCCCTGGAACTGCATCCCTGTCAGATTCCAAAAACCAAGAAAGAGATGTGGAATTACTTCCGAGCAGTTTCCTTTATCGTTCCTCCCCTATAGACAGAATCTTGCCAAGCCATTTGCAGCACAGAATATATACAGAATATATATACAGAATATAGAGAACTATCTAAGCTGTATTGACTCTTGGGAATGCAGCCCCTCCCTCTTGGGAATCCAGACTACATCCACCACAATCCCCAATTGTTGCCCTCCGACTATGTGGAGATACGATGCCCAGTATTCTTAAGAATAGCCACTTCTGGACAAAACCAGGTTGGGGATGGTATCTAGAAATTTGTCTTGATGGTTTTCTAGTAAGTATGACTTAAACCATAATTAGTTTGGGAAGGTAGCTTAATACTGTCTACTGCCAACCTTCAGTTGACTCAGGCAATTTCTAGATAATTTCTAAGTCCACTCTGTAGTTTTGGGTGGTTGTTTTATTTTCTTTGACTGAACAGCTGCATTGAAAGGATGTTTCACTGTTTAGAGCCGTCCAGGTACTCGCCAGTAAGCCCATGTGCTGTATTATTGGTTCCTCTCCAGGCCTGGCTGTTTCTCGCAGGCTCCCCTGCCTCTTCTGCAGAGATGGAAAGGCTGTGGCAAATTTGCAAAGGCTGAGTTACTGTTCCAGAGCTGGGCCTTTACTTCCTGCAGCTCCCAAATTCTTCTACAGCAAAGCAGTCACCACTTGCCCGGCTCAGGTATATTATGAATCTTTTAAGTGCTCATAGAAGAGCGCATTCCACTTGCCTAGGAAGATTTCCTGGTTAATCCTGCATGTCAAACAATGATGGCCTCTCTGTGGTTCCTCCCGCATCCCTGCCTATCAAGAGAATGGCCCAAACCTATTTACGGCTACAGCCTCTTGCAAAGATGTCACCCCACCCACCCCTCACCCCCAATGGACCTGTTTCCTTCTCCCCATCCCGTAACCATTCGTCCTTTCTCCACCCATGTGCCTAGGATCAGCAGCAGCTGCCACCTCTTGTACCGGCTTTTGACAACCAGATGTCTGTCTTGCCTCCTGTGGGGGGGAAAGATTCTGAATCCGCATTGACTAATTCTACCCGAGCAGCTGACTCTGTGTCTTCATTCTGATAAAACAGGGAGGAGTTGCTCCATGTGAATTGC